ATTTCCCGCAACTACCGAGTATACTACCGAGTATGTAAGCCTCCATCCTTGATTGCGATCCTATAGACGAGGTTGAGCCATTGTGCGTAATAATCCCTTTTGCCTACCAAATCCACGGCAGTCGCTCAGAAGCAGTTTACGAGGCTTCTTCTGCATGGCTCCAATTGGCTTTCTTCCGTAAGCCTTGTCTGTCTACTGCCGGTTTCCAAAACGGCTGTCAAGTCTCGATAACCATGTCCCTTGTCAGGACTAGCCAAATCTACAGATGGCGGCGGCATCCAAAGCCGAGTAGGAAAACAGCTCACGTCAGTGGCGATAGTCATCGTACGCTACATGTCCTTCTTTTTCCTTGGAGCTTTCCCTGCTTCCATTTCCAGCTACCCAAACGACGCGGCACTTCAAGGAGGCAGGCGGGAACCTAGAGTGACTTCGTCAACTGTCCAACGCTTTCAAACTCTCTCATAATGGAACTTGACAGGTGGACCACACATGCTGCCTTGATCGGCTTCCCTGGCGCATGTACGGGTACGAAGTGGCTGTGAGTTGCGGTGGAGAGGAGCATCCAGTTTTTCATCGTTTCAGGTCATCTCTTTGCCTTGGCGTTGTCTTGTGTAACTGTCGTCTTCCATGGTGAGCTGAATTGCTAGAGTCGAGTCCAAAGATACAATTCCAACATTGAAGTTGCAATTCAGGTTAAGCGACTTGACTTGGAGGCCGGTTGCCTATTGCCGGTATACGGTCGATCCGAAACATGAACCCACGCTGGTGTTGTAGAACGTCCCACGCTGGACAGAGCTGAGAAGAAGTACATACTATGCACAAATCAAGTTGACCTGTCATCTTTTTCGGCTAGCTGTTTCTGCTCTGCTATTGCACATGTCATTTTAGTTTCGAAAGCCTACGGGCCACTTTGCCGTCGTCAAGTTATGGGCTGAGTTGGTGTTTTGTGACTTCACATCGTCATTGCCACACTCCTGAAACTGTCCTGGCATTTGGGCTCAAGACGAGTCGGGAGTATCGTATTAGAGAGCATCTGAACAAGTGGAATGGAAAGCGACGCACTTACGATCCAAGTTTAGAACAGGATTGCTTCGCTTCTTTAGCACATCTTCCTGACTGCAGTGTCGGCCACACTCGCCCACTTCTTCTGTCCGATCGCTTGGATCGCCAACAGGCCGTGTGCCGCGATTATCAACTGCAAACATACGGTTCCTCTAACTTGGTGATATCCAGCGGATACCTGACTGAATAAGGTTTGCAGCGATGATGCCTGCTTTGTTTGTCTCTCTTGACCTGTAGGAGTCGGTCAAAGTATCACCAGCCAAGTCAGAGCGACACCATCAGCGCGTACTGGTGTCTTCCATGACAATCATTTATGGGGATACATCCCGTGTTGCCATTTCTTGGAGTTCACACCATCTGCATGGAAAACGTGCTAGCCGCCACAAATACAAAACATGCTTTGTCGCTCCTGGAGATTTGGATGCTGACCGACACTCTGTTATTACGCAATTGCATTGGACTCATTCTCAGGAAAGGCTTAAGGAACATGGAATAATCCAATGACGGACCGAGCGTAACCGTCGATCCTGGTCTCTCTTACCCTTACTAGCATTTAGCTGAAGTAACCAGACTGTTGAGGCATTTCGGGCAGGTGGGAGTGATCAGCAATATCATCAGCCGCGTCAAACGTACGTCTAGATTATACGCTTGGATGCTCGCTTCCTCATTGCATTCTTGCCAAGAACCACACTGTGCCGCGGGCCGAAATCCTTGGAACCCTGAAGTCGAAGGTCCGCCAGCAAACCTGGAACACCCCTACCTCAACTGGAGCCGATGGCACCCAAATGGGCAGACCAGAGCAGATTAGTACCCTTGCTTTAGATGAAGGGGGAGGGGCGCAGAAAAGCAGATACATGCTCCTATGAACACTGTCTGCGGCATGCCAAGTATCGTGAGTGAGCCCTTATCGGCCACTATCAGTATCGTGACATCAGAGGAAGAACTCTGTTTGACAGGATCCATAATCCCACGTGGTGTAAGTTGACGACATCCGTGATGTTGACGAGAAAAATCCAATCTCGAAACCCTGCAAAATCCCCAAATCCAACGTGAAGAGCTGAAAAAGTTCGTGTACAAGAACTTCATCAGTCGGTTCCTTGGCAGCAATCCAGTAGGGTCCACTCGAATCCCAACACAAACCGTGAGGAACATCTTGTCGATTTGCCTGGTGACGAGGCCGATTCGGCCACAGTGAGTTTGCATCTTTATCTCACTCTCGGCCAGTACTAATCTGCCTCTCGAAAGATCCCAACTAGTGGCCAAGCGGATCAGTGGGTCTGTTCTCCATAACCGAGCGCTTCAAACGACGATAGTAACGGACCCGTGAAGGAACCCGCAGTGGCATCTTCTCTGGGCCCCCTGACGTCACTTGTTATTGATGGAGATTTCGGCAGAGTGTTTGGGACCTCGAGGATGTTTGTGAGGTAAACAGTTGCCAATGTGTGAAGGCGTTTGTTATATTGTATGATCTCATCACGTGTCATGGCGCGCAATCATGAGCGGCGTAAGACCTAATTGAGCTGCCGGACGAGATGTGAATGGTAGGCAAGGCGAGGCTGCGAGATGGTGGATCGTTGGCCGACTTGGCGTCGCGGCAGATGGAGAAGACCCAGACAGAGGCTCAGTAATCTCAGCATCTCTGAGCCTCCCGGCCAATGGCGATGGCATTGATTCGTGTAGACAGGGTTGCAGAAAGACGCCGATTCGTCGCGTCTCGAGACGCCGGGTTGGGCGATATTCACGAAACATGAACTAGGGTATGGTGTCCCTTGACAATAAATGAAGTACATTCCATAATTTCTGTATTTCAGGACGCCTGCCTTGATGGAAGATGCCACAGCCGTTGCCACCTCGAGGGCAAAAATTAACTTTTGACCTTGGGGCCGATCTCTAGAGATGGAGATGGAGCAACTTGGGTCAAGGACGTTCTTCCAGTGCCGAAAATGCCAGCTACTGCCAGGTACGTGGGTACCAGGTAGGTACCTAGGTACGTATTTAAGTAGTTATTATGTTTCTTCCCGAGTAGGTCTGTGCCTTGCGAGTTGCTGGCCGTGCTGGCCAAGTGGATGGCCGATGACGATCCTTGGTGGTGTTGCCTGCCAGCTGCACTTTGGGTGAAGCAAAGCCGTGAAGGGTCAACTGGTAGTAGAGGTGGGGGCGTGTGCGTTGCAGGGACATGTCGAACGGCCCTTCAGCGGCCTCTGGATGTTGGATTAATGCCAGATCATGTCTGTCGATGCGTGGTCCTCGGTCGCCCGCCAACAGTGGATGAAAGGTGGACAAAGAACATGGACAGCGCCAGCACCATGTGGAGCCGAGTCTCGTTAGAGTCGTTACCGTGCAGCCCCGTGAGCAGGGCGGAGTCGGAGACTGTGCAATGCGGTCATCATGTGGGGTGTCTTCACGGTGTCAACGGGTGCCACTCAGCCCGTTTCATACTGTCCAGCCAACGTCACCTTCCCTCCGGCCACAGACTGAATACTACGAGTACATAGTTACCCTCGACAACATCCCGACCAACACACAGAGGATATTAGAGCATGAGCTTCGAATCGATATACTAACAGCGATCAGCAAGCGCAGGGACCCCAGGGAAGGCCATTGGCGTTCAACATGGACAGGCCTGCAGCCTTTTTGCATCTCAACAGCCAATCAATTCGTTATTGTGTGCTTACCTTCCGAGCGAAGCCTTGTATTACGGAAAGTGCTCGCATATGCGTGCCATATTCCAAGGGTCGACTCATGTGTATTATTGTCTCACTACCTGGTCTCCTCTCACTTATAGCTTTCACTTTCGTTCTCAGTCTTGCCTCCCTCACGACTTCCACGGGGCGATCCTGCGCTGAGCTGACAACAAGTTATGTACTCGGATTCGCCGTCCCAGCCATTCGCCCAGGGCGGTGATATAGGTGGCTCGCTCAATTGCTATGGTACACACGTTGGAAACCGTCCTTCACCACGTACCCGCATAGAAACCAGGCGAAAAAGTGAAGCCTGCGATTACTATACCGTCTCGCCAACGCATGCGGCAACGTGAGCAGCGAAAGCCGTCCTGACACGAATAATACGGTAGGCAGAGAGCAACCAGCCGGAAAAAATTCTCAAAGCGGTCGCCGGATACCAATGAAGCTTCTGAGTTCCGTCTCAATAAGTGGATCGATGGATCTTGCTAGGATCTCGTCTGTGGTTTCTACCGGCCTCCCTTGTCTCCACTGACCATCGTCATGATGCCTCCAAGCAATCTCCATTACAACCCACGTTGCGACGGTTTGCTGCACAAGTACGGCCAGAAACACTGGGGACACGAAAACGAAACACATACATATGTACATACATATGAAAAAACACCGGGGCTTCTCCTGATAAAATGCCGCAGTCGTGTTATCGCAACCTTATCCACTAACATGTCCACTTGTCGCTCCAAAATAGACACCAAGACACCAACGACTGGTGGTTTACACGCCCTTGGCAGGGCGATGCTGCCAGTCTTCTTCAAACCTGACTCGTCAGTCGCGCTTCTTTGGGCGTATGTACGTGCTCCACTCAGGGGGCGTGCTTTTATAACGAAGACGGTCTTGTTGGACCCAGAGTGCCTTGAGTGCCATGATGACGGTATCAAAGTAAACGTATCTATCGACGCGGATGTGCTAGGTACGCAGCTTTGATCCAAAAACCAGGGGTTCTGGTCGGTATCCGCGAGACATTGCAGGAACTGTTGCCGTCTTTTCAAAATATAAAAGACTTGTGCCAGCCCCTCCATGTCCAAGTTGAAGCTCAGACTCTTCACCGTCACTTCTTCCAATCTTACAAGTACCTCTAATATTGCTACTTGTAGCACGACTCCCCTACACCTTGGGTCTTGATTTTGTTTCTGCGGCAGGTTCGCACGAGTTTTGCACGTCTTTTCCCCCCCACGAAACAACTCTTCGACATATACAATGGCTCCCTCCGCCATCACTCCCGAGACCTCTCCTGAGCGCCAGATCTCAGTCAAGAAGGCTGCCGTTCAGAGTCGGTCTCACAGCAGCTCTGTCTCATCCGTAGCATCTATCAAGTTGAACGATGGCAACTCCATCCCTCAGGTGGCCCTCGGTGTCTACAAGGCGCCTAACGGCCAGGAGACCGAGGATGCCGTCACTGCTGCCCTTGACGCCGGCTACCGTCACATCGATTCCGCTGCCCGATATGCCAACGAGGAGGCTTGTGGTCGTGCTATTCGCCGCTGGCTTGAGAAGACTGGCACCCCTCGTGAGGACATCTTCATCTGCTCCAAACTCTGGGACTCGGACCATGGCTACGAGGCCACGTTTAATGCCCTTTGCACCTCTCTGGACAAGTTTGGCCTTGATTATCTTGACCTTTACCTGATCCATTCTCCTGCCGAGGATGAGAAGAAGCGTCTCGAGAGCTGGCGTGCGCTTGAGACTGCCCAGAAACTGGGCAAGGTCAAGTCGATTGGCGTTTCCAACTTTGGAGCCGCCCACATTGAGAACCTCCTCAACAACGCAACCGTTGTGCCTGCTGTCAATCAGGTTGAGGTGCATCCCTTCTGCCAGCGTGAGGCTCTCGTCGAGCTTTGCAACAAGCACGGCATCAAAATTGAGGCCTACTCTCCTCTAGCCCGTGGCAATAAATTGGAAGATCCCACCATTGCTGCCATTGCCAAGAAGTACAACAGGACTCCAGCCCAGATCTTGCTGAACTGGAACGCCGCCAGAGGCAATGTTGTCCTCCCCAAGAGCTTGACGGCGTCTCGCATCCAGAGCAACCTGGATAGCTTTGACTTCCAGCTGCTGCCCGAGGACGTTGAGATCATTAACGGTCTCGGCTCTGAGAACTACGTCACCGGCTCCATGCACAAGTCCAAGGACTGAGCGCATTCGTTACGACTTGAACGAGATACGAAACCATTATAGAGGTGTCTGCCGATTTGGGACAGGATCCAGAAAGGCCACAGATGAAAGATGTACAGCAGAATGATGCCATCCACGCGTCGCGACTTGGCTCGCTAGAACGATCAATGTGGAATCGATACCGCCAGCGTCATGCGAAATGACGCGAAGCATCCCGTCCTGTCAATTTTAGATTTCTTGTTACTTTTGTTTCGAGTTGGGCAATTTTCAGACTAGACTAGGGCTCATGGTGTTTGATGTTGGTGTGTTTACGAATACCTAGGTAGCTAGATCCTTGCAATACTATATTAATTATAGAGGGCCGAATACAACATGTGTCAACGCCGACTCCCCTGCATTCAACTCGACCCAAATACTACATAAACTTGGCCATTCTGCTCAGTTACGCCGAAACAGCCGGCGTGAGAGTCGCCGCGACGTGGCCTGACAGGGCGTCAGCTTAGCTCACAGTTACACCGCATCGCCGCAGGTATAAACTATTCGGAGGCGGACCGAGTTGGCTCTGTCCCACAGTTTCTAAGAGTTCTGAACTTCTGACCCCACTTGTTTGAGTCAAGGCGCCTCTTTCAATCTCGTCGTGTTGTTGCGCCATGCTGGGAATGACGCAAGGTACCTTGCCTACTTGTTGACGTGCGAAGGACCGGTATCGAATCACAGCGACGACTGTTGCCGATCACTCCCGACAACGCTGCCAGTTGAGTACCAGAAACGCGGTGAACAAAAAGATGGGAAAGAAAGTCTTGCATGTGAAGGGGTGTCCATGTTGCCAGGGTCAGCCACGAAAATGGTGTATTGCCCGGAATTGAGTCGAGCGGACATGGAGGCGATAAGATTTTGCTGTCATCTGCAGCCACCACCATCGCCATGATGCATTCCTCCATCTTTCGGAAGGACTATGTAAGTAAGTACGTATATGTACAAACGGAGTATTCCAAGCCCGTTGACGTGTCGCCAAACCCGGTACTTGGGTACCAGCTGACCTTGACCTTTGGCAGAGCCGCAACCGTCGCCAATACGCCGCTCAGGGGGGTTCCCGACGCCATGCGGCGACCGCAGCAAACGCCACTTTCCGGGAAACGTCGAGTGACTTGAGCTGCAGCCCGAAATGGGAAAGGGAAATAGGTCATGCAAAAAGGTGAAACGAACGATGCAAGGAGAGCAACGTTTTGCTTGGCTCACTATTTTTTTCTTTTTTTTGTATCTACTGTTGTGGCAATGTTGAATTCTCCATACTGGAGTCCAGCAGCGCAAGTTGCATGATTTTTTTTTTCTTGTTTCAGGGTTCTTAATTAAAAGCATGATGCATCCGGCAGGCGCCGACTTTCTCGCCCGACTTGTGGCGGAATTTACCCTCGTGGCACGAATGGGAGTTGCCGAGCACTCACATTGTTGAATCGCTCACCATCCGATCCTCGCAGCGCTGTCATATTCGCAGGCGCAGCGGCCCCCCGGATTTACAGGTCGATTGATCTAGAACCTGCGGGGCTGCAGGTGCCCAACACTGGGCTCCTCTCAAAAGGAGGAAAGAGAAGAAAAAAAAAAGATCGTGGGATCGTGGGGTTTGCTGTGACGTAGACCCGCGCAGGACGCTAGCATCGTGGGCTTTTGGGAAACCCACACGGCATGGGCGTGCTTCAACATGTCACATTCTCGGCGTGAACAACTTCGCTGACTTCCGGACGTGTTGTGAAATACGTGGCCGGGGGAAACAAGGGTGAAGCCATGACCAAGAGATTCGTGGGATTGCCGGCGGTGTGACTGGATGGTGTTTTATTCATTGTGGCTGGCTGGCTGGCTGGACTATCCAAGTCAGGCCGCATTGCAGCCAGGTCAGTTGATACGGGAGGCTGTGCAGAGGGCAAGCTTCTTCTGCCTTTGTGGTCTTTGGACGCGACTAAAGAGACGGTGAGGTTGCATATCGTGTTCGATGTTGGGCATCAATACCTGTCACGGGGCTTGATTTCCTCTCCTGCCTGGGGCAGACGGAGGTGACGTGCAGAGAGTGTTTGGCTGATTCAATTCTGCACGCCACTAGGCGAGGTCATGGTTTGCAAAGGCTGGCGACAGGCAGATGGCATCAGTAGATCTGGGGATAAACGGAATGAGACGGTGGCGAGCTATTCAAACGGTGTTTTCCCTGCCAAGACGACGCAAATTGTTATAGGGTAGGGCGGATGGGGGCCTAAGGACCCGGTCTCAGTGCTGGTTGTTCTAGAACCAGTTGGGTTTCGGTGAGAAAGCTTTGGTATCCTCATCAAGAGCAGTAGGGGTACTACTAGGGACTTATGGAAAATATGATAGTGGTCTGGCTGGATTACAAAGGCGTTCCGAAAGTCTTTGGCAAATTCACGCACGATGGTTGCTTGAATTTACGGCACCAATAATCTTATACATAGTTTGACCTCGTCATAGACCCAAAATGCCCATAAAAAAACGTTGGCACACGACAAGCTGCCGAGTCCGCCGCCGTCTGAATCGAGCAGCACCCCCGGTTTTGTCTTTTCCAAAAAGAAACAGCAGCCTCCAAATTAGGGATGCATGTCGGACAGCTCCTGCATTTGTTCTCTTGTGGCGATGAATTGCTGGTCGCTTCGCCACGCACGGCACTTGGTTCCCCAGACGGCATCCAATGTGGCTGACGGGGAGGATGGGCGGGGAGACGCGGCTCAACGTTAAAAGGGATGCCACCCATGGACGCTTTATCGTCAGAGTCACAAGACAGCTTAGAAGAACATTAAATATCCTACCGACATATGGTACTTAAGTAGCACTTTTTGACTATTCTGTAGGAGCCCTGCTCTGTCCGCCAACTACTTAGGTACCTAGTATCCACGTCGTCCAGTGTCAACTGGTTTCAAGATGGTCCGTTGCTCCTTCCCATTTGATTCCGTACCTTGCTGCCCCCTGTGTCGTGCTTTGTGCTGCGCTCCGCCAATCTTCTGCTAAATACCCAGTCAGTCGATGTCTCCAGCCCACCAGACTTCTCACTTCCCACCGACGCCTTATTTGTACGTTTTTGGTATAAATTTACTTCAAATTTGTCTCTCTCACCAGCTTGGGTGCACCGCCTCTCCTCCTCCGACGCCAAGCGCTAGCAGCCTTGGCTTGTGTTGCTTTTGCCCATCACGATCGACCATTCGACGCCCAGCTGACTAGGAACTAGCTCAGCCCTGGGCATGGCTGACCACCACATCATCATCCTTGATTCCTTGGCATGTGACGATGCCCTTGCCAAACCGGCTCTTTGTTCTTTAAATTCTCGCCCGAGGTCAAGTCTTGCTCAAGTCTCTTGAGTCTTGACGATACTTCCCAAGCACATAGCGTCAAGAAGGAGACGACCGTTTCAAAGCCCCTTGACTGTTCTGGTGCCAGTGCTTCTGGCATGCGCCGTGTACAGCCATGGGGACTGCAACGGAATTTTACAGATCCCAGATTGGTGGCACGTCGGTCATCAATTACTCCTACACTGATTTCCCATTTAAGCTTCTTCTGAAGGACGTGCACTACTTTTTCGTGTACTGCTGGGCATTGCCGTGGATCCTGTTGCCTATCAGGCCCTGCGGTTCTGGTGAACTCGACGAACTATACCCCAGCAGGAAGAATATTTTTTGCATTCTAATCCATTTCATACTGGTGCTTCTACAGCTTGCATTCATTTTGGTTTTGCCCCTGGGTATTATTTTCCCCGTTTGGATTATCGCGCTCGGTGTTGGGGGTTTTATGACTTTGAACTGGGCGCTGTGCAAATTACTCAATGGAAAAGATATCACCTTTCACTCGGACGAAAAGTATGCGAAAGCACGTCCCGAACATGCACATGAACAATGGGTTTTTCTTAATGGCGTCGCAGTTGGGTAGGCAAGATCTTGTACTTTGAACCAAAATAACCGCGTAGGCGATAATCACTGACCTGTTTCCCACAGAGAACACTGGATGACGGCCAACCTGAATAGATTGGCCATCACCTTTGGGCGTCCAATCCTAGGCATTCACAACCGAACGTCGGGAATACTCTTCGATGTTATTGAGTGCTTGATTCAGCGCAACTTCACCTATGCCACGTCTGACGTGCGTATTTGCTACAAGATCCTTCGGGATGTGCTATACGACCCTAGCAAATCCAAAGTTGTTTTCATATTACATTCCCAGGGCGGCATAGAAGGTGGCTTAGTTCTGGATTGGTTGCTGCAGGAGATGCCACAAGACCTTCTGTCTAAACTCGAAGTATACACATTTGGAAATGCGGCAAATCACTTCAACAACCCCCATCGCCACGTTGCCTCCCAGAATCTATCAGCGACCAACCCTCTGGTCGCCATCAGAACATTCGTCTCGGAGTCAAGCTTTTCAACACCGGTCACTAGCCCTGTCGGTGCAACAAATGGACATGCCAAGGGAGGAGATCCATTTACCTTGACGACCTCCGGGACATCTGAGTCTTTCTCCTCTTCACGTGTATCGTCCGCGGCCAAAGATAGGGCCATCGGTCATGTAGAACATTATGCACATTCCACTGATTTCGTTGCCATGTGGGGAGTGTTGCATTTCGCTACAAACAGGATGGGCTCCCATCAGCTTCCTCGGTTTCTTGGACGGCTATTCAACCGCGCGACTGGAAGTGGTGGACACCAGTTGAACCAACACTATTTGAACGGCATGTTTCCATTGGAGCGTGACAAGAAAACAGGTGAATTCATAGGCGCCGACGAAGAGAACGCGTTTATGGAGGAAGTTATCAAGTTCGGCAAGGAGGGTGATGCCATGGAGAATGCAAGAGAAGCGTTCGATATTTCTTATTTGGGAACAGAGGGATTTGGAACCGGGCACATATCAACACCCGTCGAAGTCCACGGAATCAGGGGCAGGAAGCGGACGAAGACGGACGTCATGGTCAAGGAGCTAAGCAGACTATGGAGCTATAGAAACGGACGATCTCCCGGAGGCGAGCCGCCAAATCTCGT